AACCTACAGACATCGGTCTTGTTTAACAAAATATATATATATATATTTCTACAAGGTTCCTACACTTTTTTTAACAACAATATAAACATATTCAAGTTTCTAATTTTCTGCACAATTAAGTCTTTTTTTTATATTTAATTTCATACCCCCACCCCATATCCTATAGCAATCCAACCTACCCAGATAGTGTAAGTTTATAGCAGAAAGTAGACAGTTTTCACAACGAGAATACAACTATGTCAATCGAGTAATAACGAAAATTGTTAAAAATAAAATGTATCGTTAGCTACTTTTTCCATGCTAGTTATTAGAAAGTAGACAGTTTTCACAACTAGAATACAACTATGTCAATCGAGTAATAACGAAAATTGTTGAAATTAAAACTGAAAGTAAAATAAAATGTATCGTTAGCTACTTTTTCCATGCCAGTTATTAGAAAATGCACTTGAACAGATTCCAAATATACATTTTTAATGCTTTATATTTGACCAGCCAATATCTTAAACTCTCTCTGAAAACTCTTTTGTTATAGGAGATTGGGAGAATGGAGTGATGCTTGTGTAGTTTCACAACTCTGAATCACACAATTTTGTTCACATTTTATGCATCCGTCAAGTAAAATCCAAACTTTTCCCAAAATATAAGGACCTTCAAGTGCTTGAAACGACATCTTTAAATTCAAGCTTTTTTTCAAGCATGTATGAAAAACACTAATAGTTTTGATATAATAACATATGTATATCCAAAGCAAATTTTGTGTAACCTTTTATAAATTTATTATACACTGTACAAGTTGAAGGTTTTACTATTATCACAAAAATATAACTTTTGTATCTGGCTGTACCAAATAAATGTGTAAACAAATAGTTTTTACACTGAATATATTATAGAAAGTGCAGTTGTATATCTAAGACATGGCTAGAAAAACTGAATCCAACCCTATATATTAATCTCCCCCAAATTTCAAAAATGTGATTTATCATCAACAATTGAGGTCCAACTAGTTGTAAAGAAGGGAAAACCTTAAAAGTTCTTAGCCTACTATGTAACAACTGATTAAGTCTTTCAAATCTACATATACACTGGGAGGTTTAGTTTGCATAGGAGAATATTTATATTGATACACAAGTCTCTTTACAAAAATTTTAATTCTGCACAGGGTGGAATAGATAAACATGTATACATTGTACTTATAATGCACACTCCAAAATAAAATAAAACTAAAATATAGAAAGAAAAGAATGGTATTCCTTGTGGAAGACAGCTTCTAATATTTAAATATCAGAATTAAATACTCAGTAACTATATTACATCTTTTACATAAATTTAACCTTTTCTGATTAATAACCAATGGATCAGTTTTATCAAAATTTGGTGCATCAGTAAATTTTCTTATTAAAAAATGCTTAACACCATTTATCTTGTGTGCATCTTTGAAAAGTTTTAGTTAGTAATATAAGTTAGTGTACAATACAAGAATGAGTTTTATAGCATTTTAAACTTGAGTGTCTGTCATGCTCGTTATTTTAATTACATTTACAATATGTAACCACATTAAGTTATGATTGTAAAGGTTTTAAGTAACATCAGTAAAATACATGTACTCACCAAAACGCCTACTTGAAGAATAACTGGGATAATCTGCAATAGGAAAGTAATACAATACTAAAAAATTGATACAGGGCAATAAAATTAGTATTTGAAAATAATAAAACTCTAGATGTGGGCATGGTGCATATATAAAATATTCAATAGACAGAAATGGACAATAGGATTGTACTTCAAACTGAACCCAATATACTATGGTAATGCATTTTCTAAAAATATGGTAATTTAAGTAAAAAACACAAAAATCAACTAATAAAAATTAATTTGAAAAATTAAATTATAATGTGAAATTCTTTTGGTGTTTCATGATAATACTCAAATGAATGGAAAAAAAGCTGTGGAGAAGTTTATAATTCTAACAGAAACGTTATTATGTACCACAGGTTCTTGACTAGAATTTAAAAAAAATTATTTGTGAATAAGATTATGAGATTTCTAATTGTTCAATTTATTTAAATGTACAAAAAGAAGTTTACTGTTACTGCTAAAATGAAATGCATGACGAGATTTATGAAAGTTTGAAATGTTTGAATTAAGGAGTAGCAGGGCTATTACATATGTCTTTAAAGGTTCCTACACACAACAAAAATTACTGATGACTCCAAAATAAGTAAAAACAAGGTGATTGAATCCCATTCAGCCTATGGAATCAGTCCTCACCCCACCCCTCCGCAAAAAAGCAGCCAAAGCATCAAATAAATGTTAAATATAGCTCTTCACATCTAATAAAATTCTTAATAATTTAAAAATAAAAGTATTACTGTTATTAATCCTTGGCTTTAAAATCTAATTTGTAAATGACTTAAATAAAAATCAATAATAATTTCAATTCACTAACTTAATCTATTTCACATCATAACAAATTCTTCTTTGATTTTGTTCTTAAGTTCTTAGGAATACATATCACAAGCTAAATCATTCTACAATTCATAACATTTAATCAAAATAAATTTTAACAAAGAAAAATTCAATATATATATAAATTTAGACTGTTCAGAGTTTGAACCTATTATCCCTAAATACACAAGTTTATGTTTCTAGTTTTTATATTCCACTATTCAAATTACCTACAATAAGGTTGTCTATACACCTAATAATTTCAGTCAGTTCGATCAGTTTATTCTAACTCCTGTCCAAACTGTAAATTTCTCTCCACATTGTAAAACAACTTATTAAACTAACGTCACTACTTTACTGTAACAGTCTGCCCTTGCAATCTTTACATGTTGATGTCCTTGCTGTAATGTAATTCCTTTTAAAAGGAAGAAGTCAAAAGAGGATCAAGAAATTAAAAGACTATTACACTAGCTTCTTTTACATGTGTAGCCTAGTTGTTGGAATTTATTGTAAGAGATTATTTACCTAAACATCGTGAAAGCTTGCCTTCAATAAATAGTCTTCATTGTGGTAGAAAAAGTGATTTTCTTATTTCTTAATTTCCTTTTTTTTTTTATCAAATACCTGTTGTTTTTTTAAAAAAAAAGTCACCCAAATGTTTTGCACAATGTCACTGAGAAGGCATTTCAATAAGGTGTCTCAAATAACTACTTAGGAAAGTAAATACGTGTGAAAATATGAAATTTGTTAAAAATGAAATGTTGGTGGAAATATGGCTCTTTTTTGACAGGGAGTGGGGTCTCTCTGGTAACTGTTTTGAAACTATTGTTGTTTATTTATATCATCTGACAGCTATACATACTTAGGCAGTAGTTGTAAACTTGCTGAGGACAATAAGATAAAATTCTATATAGAATATTTCTATTAATTCACAAATCATAATTCGGGCAAACCATTTCATAAGTTTAATTATAAACTTTAAAAAAAAAAGATGAGCAAGGTGATATCAAACCATGCCCAAACCTTCACCCATGAAACAAAGTAAAGTATTTGTATAAAACTTAATGTAACCTATCACATGCATTTAACTATCTACATGTAACTAAAGGTTTATATTAGTTTAAGCTAGCAACAGCACAAACCCCACCAGAAAAATATTCTATGAATTTATTTCTCTAATAAAGAACAATTTTGCCTTATAATTAGCTTGGACCTTCACCATATACATGTTAAACTTATTTCAGGATTTCATCTCCAACCTTATCTTTCCAACATACCATCCATTAGCAGTTTATTGAAGCCCTTAAATATATTAAACACTTGAATCAGGTCACCCCTTAGTTCTTCAGTGTTCCAGAGACAAAGACACTTATATTTTTAACAGCTTAACTGTTTAAAACCAGGAATCAGTTGTTTTTTAACATGTTTTCATTTTGGTATTTTATATGACATCTTCTATTTTACTATTCTCATATTCTTTGATAAGCCACATTTGTTATTGATCAAACAAGTTATATTTCTGTTCAATCATTCAAGATTTGGTCTGTGTAGAAACTAATAAGGAATACAATATTTTTCAACAAATAACCCTAAAACCAAAAACCAAGCATCGATGACACTTTTCCTTTTAAGTAAGATTTTCTAAGATCAGAGACATAATATTTACTACCATGGCCTGGGAGAGTAGAAGGGAGGTGCATCAGGTGAAAATCACTGGGGCTCAGGCAAATATTTTCCATACATATGACACCAAGAAGTCCTTCTCCTTTCTCTCTCTCAAAAAAAAAAGTAGTATTTGTATGCTGATGCTACATTTTGGTTAGTCTTGAAAGGGGAAATAATAATATACATGATTGAAGAGGAATATGAGAGGATGAGGGGCCCAGGATTTCTCTCTTGGGCCCTGCTTACTACCTGGCCTCAGAGGTAATAATATCATGATCACTGGTACTTATCACTTTAATAATAGCATATTTAACCATATCCTCATCAGAACCGAAAACATTTTCTAATATAGTATTTTCTATTAAACCAATCTCACATAAGCAAGCATTTATATCACTTCTGACAAACAAAACAGCTTGTCTCTCATTTTGTTTACAGATTTTACAAAACATCTTAAAACCACTATAAACTTACATCATTGGAATCATTTAACCATGATTGGACAATACCACTAAAAGCAACTAAATTATTTGCAAAAATTCTACACTTCTATTAAATCCCACACATTTTCTAATATTTTAATTGTTTGTCATGTCTTTTATAAGCCAAAACAAAATCCACAAGTTTCCAAAAACTATCCCTCATCTCTTTATCTTGGTTTGAATTATCATTTAATGCTTCTCCAAACAGTCTATTTTCCAACCTATTTAACAGTTCTTCCTATCTTCTACAGATAAAGCAACCTTATATTTAGGTAGGTTCCCATTAATCCGTTACCTAAATCTTACACCTTACTTAACACTTTGTCTGTACCTAACAAGTACATAAATCTTGCACCCTACTTAACACTTTCTGTCTGTACCTAACAAGTACACATCATTTTACACCTTTTGTAATTCTCCAGTATTTCTTTGTACTTTATAAGCAACTATTCTGGTCTGTCTGCCATTACTAACATTATTTGTACCAATAAGCACTACAAATACTGAATCTTCATTTCTTCCTGCTACAATACTATCTGCTTTATCAATAATATTTGAACTTTAATGCCTGGTAAGCATTTTTTATTTTAGTGCTCTACTACAAAAGTTTATCAGTATACTTAATTTGGGAATCTCCCTACTACAAACATTTTGGGTTCTTCCCCTATCTCTCCCAAAGAATAGCCTTAGTTTCAAGACTATTTGATACTGTTATCCATTGTTTCTCAGTTCCTTAGTCATAACCCTATTATTTTGCATCTTATTAAACCCAGCATAATTCTCATTTTTCATATTAAGAACCACCTTAACAAGTCTGCATATGGGATTTCAATGCTTAAAACTATTGCTTTTGATACTCAACTTTGTAATTTTCACACTTTTTTTCTCTCCCAAACTCAAACAATTTATTCACAAAGATTGTTCAACCCCAAAACTTTAAACACCTGAATAGTAATTTCTAGTTATATGCTGCAGAACAAATAAATTCAAATTTCTAAGCTTTTCTTCATAGCTCAAATGTTTTTAACCATGTATCCATCCAGTACTCCATTTGTATAATTTCCAACATACCAATACCAGTGTAGTCTTACTGCAGTAATTCAATGATTACTATACACGGTGTGTTCAATAAGGTTTTACCAATATTATGATAGAGTAATATACAGAGAACATTCCTTCAAGGCTGTCCCTGTACACCCATCCCTAGAGAAAATTATAAATTTAATGACACCATTTATTTTTAAGAAATTGTCCATTCTCTTCCTAATTTCTTGTGAGGTGCAAGCCTCCAGTGCCAACAGCAACTCATTCCTTAAACCTAATAGTACTGTCTTAAGTGGAACCTAGCTTGTCTTTTCCAAATTTCAAACTTGTATCCTCTCAACTATTGTTTTCAGCATAAGCACAAACAAATCTGAGGTCTTTATTCTATCACTTCCCAAACAATTTTGTTAACTTCATTCAGATCACCTCTTACCCTTTTTTCTCAAGCTTATTGGACTTAAATTCATAATTCCATTAAAATAAGTCCCAGAAACTCTATATGCTCTCTTTGCCTAAACCATAATAAACAATCACATATTTTATGTGAACAAAACATATGTAATGTCCAAGGTTTAAAAACTTTTAACCTGTAAATTGATTACATTATTCTGAATATTGAATAAATTCAAAACACATTGTGTTTGTTTGTTGTTGTTTGTTTTTTTTTTGGGGGGGGGATAAGATAAAGTAACAAAATGAAAAAGAGAGAGATAGAAAGCAAGTGATGATAAATAAAGTCACATTCAAGTTACTTTGCACAAAAAGCCAAGGTTATTAACTTTTTGCAATAGAATCAAGCTAAGACTCCATTAGCAACTGCATGACATGAGAATAGTATTAATTTAACAATCTGGAAAGAGACTTAAGTCTTAAGTACACTAAAGTAAAGACAAAAATGCACAAATATTCTTAATTGATTTTCTGAACTCTATAATATGAGGCTTCTCACAAAGAACTAAGTTATATTTAAAGTTAAACTACAAACATTAAAAAATCTATTTGTCTTATAATCTATTTTAACACTAATTAACACTAGCATTCAGTTATTATGCAGTGTAATGATTGTTAGTCTTAAACATCCTAAATTATATATAAATAAAGTACAATTTAATCATATGTGAACCAACAAAAAATGTATTAATAATATTAAATTTTCGTCACTGCACAAAACTTGCAAGTTAACGGGGAACTTCCTGTCACTTTTACTTTTGAGTTTTAGCCCATCACTGCAATATCGTTTCACATAAATCGCAACCAATTTGTGTTTGCCTCAAATTTTTAATACACAAACACTACGTGTGTGACACTATTCCAGTGACATTGACAGTTAGGCCTAACTGTTGTTTAATGTTGACATATTAATAGTAGGTTGAGTAACAAAAATGTTTTATATGCAAAAACACATTTTTAAGAATCACTTACCACTTTTTTGCATTATGTTACGGTAAAATTCACTCACACTAACGTTACATGTAATAGTCTATCATACAATCAATTAAAGGATAATACATGCTTTACTATAAAGTAGCAGTCCTACCCAAGTTTTAACAAACTGTGAATTACTAATACTTGTACTATTGTATTAACCACAACCGTTTCTTGCCGCGTCTAAACGATAACATGATCAATAACCGTCGTATAGTTGCATAGGGATACGATAGAGGACAGTACAAGAAATATTCGAACACGATTTGTTACTTTTATGTTTGTGTTCGTCTTACTATTTTTACTTTCTATATTAATAAAAAAGAAACTGGTTTTAAATCCATGAAATGTGTATTTATACTGTAAGGATAATACATGTACTTCGACTTCCTTTTAGAATATGCATTATTTTCTAACCAACACGCAGACTGATATATTGCTGTATGCAAGTGTTTTTTGAAATTTTCACCTAAAATTTTCAAAACGTTCACACATTTGCGTGTGTGTATAGATTTAATAATACAGATCCGACTGTGTAAAGTGGCTAAATTGCTGATCCTTTAGCTGCACACTGTCATGTTTTGTTTCCCTTGGCTGTTTTAGTATTGAGCTTCACCAAATAGGTCCACAAAACAGGAGATTCGATCAAGAGGTGGAATAACGGAGTAATACTAAAACGCTTACTAACTGAGATTATGCTAACTGAAATAAAGATAATGGCCAAAAGTGGTAAACAAAATGAGCAATCTACTATACAAAGACGAAAAAGCTGTCTATTTGTCCGTCTGTCACGCCGATATCTCGGTCGTTGCGGTACCGATCGACACGCAACTTGCACGAAACGACAGCGCTTTTTGCCGCGACAAGCAAGTTTGTCTTTTTAAAATTCTTCCAGTCATGTATATATATATATATATGAAACGGATGATGTGCTACTTTCGACATATAAATAGGTTTGTAGAGATCGTGATGAGTAATAAATCGAACCGGGTATATGTGTGCCTCACGCTTCGTATAGCTGGCGCACAAAAATCATAATTAATGCCTGAAATTCCCCATTACGTTTGCTTGGTTGTCAAGGAGACACACTGACGCAACGACATCAAATTTGGTTCAATCAGAGCACTCGGCTACAACTCTATAATAACACATATGTTTTATCCGAAGCACATATCAATTTTGAAAATGCCCAAATTAAAGCGCGCTTTTTCAATTCAGAAAGTTAACAAAGTCAAAACCAGGAAGACAGCCCAAAGAGAAGACCCAGAAATTCGTAATAAAATTATTTGCCTTTACCACCACATAATTTGCAGGGTCATACAGTTGACCAAGTAGGAATGTTTTTGAGAATCTGTTTTTGTATGTTTCAGTCTATAAGAATTTATCATTTGGACATAACTAAAAATATACAGAAGTCAAAATTCTAATCAAGTGATACTTAAATTTTGTTTTCGTGAAATACTAGAAATAGGAGAGTTATTCTCTATACATATATTGTTACTAAATCGTTGCTGGACTGCGGGATGCAAATTTTGTACTATTACCTTATCCAGGCCCGTACACGGAATGTTTGGAGGGGGGGGATTCTAATTTGTGAGATCAAAAGCCAACACATGTTGTGCGAAGCACAATCAGCATACAAAGCATGCTAATACTATGGGGATCTAGGGGCATGCCCCCCAGAAAATTTGTAAAAAATAGGTGCTATGCGATTAAATCTGGAAGCAATTTGACACGAAATATAGCTTAAACAACTGCATGGTTGTTCAGATAAAATCCACAAACATTCAATGAAAAGTCAACAAATCATTATTCTATTGTAACACTATATGGGGGGCTAGATTTAACTTATCATAAATATGTATGTTTTATTATAGTAAAGTACTCTTCTATTTACATGCAGAGTAGTTATTAATTGTTAAATTATATTACTGATTTAAACAACTCAGTACAACGATAGTATTGTTACGTCTCCGTGTGTTAATTAATTTTCCGTAACTTCGTTTCAACGAAACTTTAACGACACAAGTCTTTACTTAATAAAACTGGT